CCCCCCCCCCTTTCCACATCAATTGTAGTAAAAGGGTATATTAAGTTTATGGGGATGTATGCAACAGCCAGAAGGACTTTAGATCGATTCATTGCATTCTATTCAGAATCACTTTCCGAGTCGAGTTAAGCTTGTCTGTCCGTCTGTCCGTCTGTCCGTCTTTTCTTGGTATATTTAACGTACAAGTCACATTTCTTCAGATAAAAATTTGGAACAAACCCTATTGCATTTGGTTCAGATTGAATCACTTTTTCGCCTAATTTTTTAAAGTCGTTACATGCATAATTGCAGGGTGACTTAGGGTATCTAATGATTAGCACTATGGCCTACTATATTAGATTTTCATTTAAATTATCATCGAGAAATATATTTTAGAGACGCTATACGATGTGTGTGCACTAGGAAGAGATCAAGTTAAGATGTAAATCATTTTAGTCAAATCAATAACTCACGTAAGCCTTCGTGCAGCTGTTTGTTTGATTTGCGCAATATTCGATAGCGAAAGCTATGCATTGACTTTTGTCTTCTTATTTCATTTCCAAGCAATAAATTTAAAACTTTGAATTAACTTAAATCTCGACAAATAATGAAGAGATAGTCGGCGCCTATCTGGCTAAAACACGTATGCATATCAGATCGGGTAATTTTATATAGTTCTTATTTCATAAAATATCGTATCGTATCGTACATATACGATGTTGCACCGTATCGTTTAGCATATTTATATTGTGAATTGTTTTTGCCCATCCCATCCCAGTTATATAGCGATCGTCCAGTAAGTAAAACCAAGTAAGAGGACTCATACTTGTTAACATATCTTATCATATATTTATATATAGCAATTATATTGTGTATTTTATCGTATCATATGTTGCGTTTATATTGTACATTGTATTTCGTCTATCCCGCTTGTAATTTGGTAGTAGGTATTGAAAAAAATCTGTCCAAACCTTATATAAATTTTGCATTAAATAAAATAATATGAACTCCTCCTTCCGCAGGATATAATACATTTAACATGTACACTCAATTCATTACTTATCGTATGGTGATGTATATTTATACATAGGAACATGAAAATCATTTTATTTGCCATTGCACTTATTAAGTATCACTTGATGAATTCTTTACAATTATTTCGCAAACATTTTGATTCTGCTTTAGTAAAACCTCTTTTGAAAAAGTGTTTCTATTTCATGAAAACACTTTTATACTTTTATAGTAATGTGCATGTATTTAATCGCTTTATAACTTCACCGTCATTAAAACATTTCGCATATCCATATTACAGCACATTTCTATGCATTGTGTATAGAAAAAGAACTTTGATGCGCTCAAAAACCATCCATAACCGCCGAGCTCTTTCAAACAAAATAAATTAAACCGTGCAAAAATAAACTCATTACCACTTACATAGTAGATGAACGTATCCTTTAGCACGCACATCCTTGCAATAGTTTATTAAGCATTTTCAAT